TTAGGGATGAAAAATGATCCCGGCAAGAGACCCCTAAACAGTGTGTGAACATGCGTGAACACACTGCTGAAGGAAAAACGAGCACGGCGCGCTAGTAGAGAGACCTCCGGGGACACCATTTCGTGCAAGACTTCCTTCCAAACCGGAAGATGACGGCACTTTTGTGCGGTAAGGGTCACCAAATTTGCTGTTCACGCATCCTGCCCCCCAAGTTTCGTGCGAGACTCCAGTCAATCAAGGAACCTTTGTGCTATAAGGATCTATAAGGGCTATCAAAAACACCGCACACGTATGAGACCACCTCGAATGAACACCAGGCCCTTACCGTAAGAACCCCAAGTGTGGCCACACTGTTTGAGGAAAGCAGGGAATAATGTGGGTAAAACAATAATAAATATAATAAACCATCCCTCAAATCACCATAAATAGGTGGTATAAACCATTCCCAAATGGGTGGTTCGTTATATTTATTGTTTCACCACATTCACCAACTCGTTCCATTGGGATCGACACCCTGCGCTGATCTGCGCTGTGCGACTTGCGCAGGTGGCACTTCGGCATGTTCTGACAAAGATCGCGTTGCCATTTTCACCGCACAAAGCCAGCATCTTGGCCCCAAGCTTTCCGGGTTTTCATAGGTTAGTGATGGTTAGTGGAATATATTTTACGCATGGGATGGGGATTTCTGGCTGCCAGTGGCAGTCTTAAAAGATGGCTTGGTTCATGTCCTTTTTGCGCGAAAGCACAAAGAAACTTGCAGGGTGCCTAAGATTAGTCAATTTTTCTGGCCAGGTTAACAGGGGTGGGGCCTTGGCAACCCCAAAATAGAGAGAAATTGAACACCTGGAACTATGAGGTAGATATAATATGAATATGTGTGATATAATTGATACCATCTTGGAAACACTTTTCGGCATGTTTTTCTTTTTCATTCCTATGATTACTCATCTTGAATCAACCTGTGGTTTTTCTTAAACGTGCTAACTACTGCACGAGGGGATGCAAGGGATCATCGAGGGATCATGGTGTTTGGGATCAATGCTATTTGAGGATCGTCCGATTTTAAATGGGCTGGGAACCATGACCTAAAATGATGAGTTGTTTTTTCCACCTTGGGCATTATATAAGACATGAATTATCATGAATTTATAACCTCGGGGGCTTTCTGTTGAATGCTTGCTGCACACGGAGGAGCCAAAAAGTGTCATAGGATTCTTTTGCGTCACTTGAACACCAAATATTGCCTTTAGCATAAAAGGCCACTTCTCACCACTATGTGATTTACAACGCCAGTTGCTCAGGGGTGCTGACACTTGTCAGTTAACTCCAAACCCCTGTTGGTTGATGATTATAGGGGGTTATACTACCCCTTTTTTATTGGGTATTATCAGGGATTATCATAGTCCATCATGGATTGTCACAACCCATAACCTGGAACTCCCTATTTTAATTATTAAAACCACGTGGGATTGACTCCTTTCTGCACTTCTCCGCCACCATGCTTCCCGCATGCTTCCCGCATTGGAGGCTCTATCCGGGATGTGGAGATCAAGGCGATCTTGCAACGATGCGTGATGTAAAGTCGTGCCAGCGCAGACCCACCGCAGCTGTGTGAAAGTGGGGTCAGTGGTGCCAGATGCTGAACAAACATGACAAAGAGTGGCGGGCCGAACAAAAGGCCATGATATAACAAACAGCTCGCGATCCTAATGTGAAAACCATTTGGTGTCAAAACAACACTATGGTGTTGGTTGCTTGCTTTTGAAAGCGCCCGTTTAACAGTTTCTTGATTTTTTCCTCCTCCATGAAGGATACGAGAAGAAACTCAGAGAAATTAGTAATTATCAATCATTCCCTTTGGCGACTTCCCCCTGGATCTGTGCCAACCATGGGGGCTTTACCTAACTGCTAGCAGTAGTCTCACCCAGGTTCCCAGACTTGATTGAAGGGAAAAATCACAGGACGCCCCTGGAAATCATATGAAATCCGTAGATTTCGGGTTAAAAACATGTAGAAACTACGGTTTCCTCTAGATGTTTCCTGGAAAATCAAGCTCCAGTTTTGTCCATGGACTCGGCCAGATTCCATCAGCCCAGCGTGGCACCATACATCACCCCTGTTGGAGCAGACCCCAGAGACAAATCCACCAGCAGATGTGAGTTTGGAGTGAGGCAAGGCGGCAACTGATGGAGAAGGCCGCAATCTTGCATGTCATTCCAATGTAATTCCCACAAGTTAATCGAAGATGTCTAACAGGGTTCAATGACGTATTTGCCCCCTTCCAAAACAGGGCTTGGTTGGAGTTTTATGCTTCCCTCATTCTCAAAAGCTAGCCGCATCTGCGTCTCACTCGTGACACGGCTATTCCGGTCACCGCAGAAACTTCGAGGCCGAGAGAGAACAATTATCTCAAGATGAGCTATATATCATATATTATATCATTATATCTGTATTATAGCTATACAATGAACTGAAATACACTGAAATTATTCACTTGACATCCTTGACATGGAAGCGTTCCACTACCTTCGGAGGCCGAAAGCAACACACTATCCCATGTGGAACATGCTCCTCTCACCTCTCGACCAGGAGCCATGTCAAGCACCCCTGGCCCAGCCCCGCAGCTTCACACCACAGCCACAGTCCAACCTGCATTTTCAATTGGGGCTGGGCCAGGGTGCAGTACGTTTCACAAAATTTTGGAGCCGTTCAGGCGGTCCCCAGCCCAAGTTCAAGGCTGGGCGCTGCAACGCCGGCGCGAGACAGTCCCTCTTCAGCCGCCTGCTTCTTACACACCGAAAGGTGCGAAATGCGGCGGGAATCTTGAACTGGACATGAGGCATTTGGTGAGTCATCTGAGGCAAAACTTGGAGTGTTGAAATGGCTTCGAATGCATTGCAACAACATACCTTGAGCTAGCTTCCCCAACCAAACTGTAGACCACGTCAACACCAGCTTTCCCCAACTCTAGACGCTTGATGCCTCTGTCATGGGCTGGAATCAGCTGGAAATAAATATAGCTTGCAGTATGGATGCTGCATGAATCTAGGCATCCTGGCATCGCGGCAAACTAAGCTGGATCATGCCAGAGAAGCACTGCCACTTACGGCAATGAGGAGTGGGCCACAGTGGCCGGATTTGGTCACCATGTCAGGGTTGGAAATTATGTCAGCTCGTGTTTACAATGCGTTTCATTGCATAATTTGTTCTCTTGAATTCCACGTATTGTCCAAAGTTCTTTCGCATTCCTGATGACTTTGGCAGCTGGAAATCTACCACAAGGGATCCAGAAAAATGTAACTCTCAAATACCCTCACAATTCCTGCAAGTGAGCGGGCACCAGGTAGCAGTTGGGGGACATCATGGGGTATCCAGGTATCACGTCACGGGATCCGCAAAGGACACACCCAAAAATCCCAAAATATCCATACCTTGCTGACACCGGTGGTCTCCAAAGTTGCAGCACAGTCACATGTCTTCCCGGCTGAAGGTCGGTGGGGAGTGTGGGGACCAAAGCGGACAGCACAGAGTGTTGGCAAAAACTCGCGTCCGATATCGGGTGTCTGAAACTTGGGGTCCCCCAAATCCCAGAAGTTTGTCATCTTCAAACAGGAAAACCCATCGTTTTGTGGCACCCCAGTTTTAAGAAACACTGCATGCGCGGGCTTGGCTGGGCTTGGCAAACTACAATTCTATAGATATTAGAGTTGACATCAGATATTTCATAATATCTCATGGTGTTTCGGTTTGATTCAGTTTTTGAGACTTCAAATGTCACCTGTGTACAGATGTATACAGTACATGGTTGCTGGAGGCTTCACTAGCTACGTGGAGTTAAAATAGCCGAGATGGGACGCATGGGAAAAATCATGATGCATCAATGAAGTTTTGAAGATCCAGCTGTTCTTCAATCTTAGATTGCCCAGTGTTGCCCAGAAGTAATCCCATCCCCCTGCTATAATATTGTAATATGTATATATATATATATGCGTGTGTTGTATTCTTTTGTTATAATGAAATGCCCACCAAACCGAAACTTGAAACCCTGGTTTGGTACTGAGTTACTAGACCTATATTCATTTTGGAAGCCCATTTAAAGGGTCTTTCCATACACAAACTGGGGGCCACCGGGGCCACCGCCTCTGCCTCGGCTCAAGACGCAATGGCGAAGCTCTCCTCTGGGCCGATGGTTCTCCCTGATCTTCCAGGTGGCGCTGAAAAGCGATCTCCGACTGGTCTATGGATTGGTCTATGGATGGTATTTTGCTATGGGTCATGTTATGTCATGTTATGTCATGTTACATGTTGTGAAAACATGTGAAAACGTCCGTTTTGAAACAAGAAGTTAAACAGCCTCAACAAAAGGAGAAAGCGCAAATTCCAAAATATCCAAAATCATCTAATTCCATAATATAGTCCACTTTGGCCGGTTTGGTTCATTCTTGGGATACGGATTAAGATGACTAGCTGGCACCAGGGTCTTGTCATGTGACCATGTTGATGGCTGGCGGCCACTGATGGGGCCACCACAAGATTCGCCGCTCTGAAATCAACCATTTGCGGGCCATAATGCCATAATGCCATTATGACATGTTCTACATCATCCCAATTGGGGACATACACAAAATTTTAGGTACAAATTGGGGATGGTGGCTGTCATTCTTGGCGTCAGGTCAGGCAGAACGCAGCCCATCAGCAGGCGGCGTGGGTCAACTATGGGACAGGTGACACTGCAGACCACACATTTGCTTGGTAACGATGGGACATGATGGAACAACATAAGTACAACGAATCGGGATGTCTTATTTTTGCTAACAACATAGGGGACATTAAGCACCAAAAATGGGTACCCTCTGGTAAACTAACATAACTATGGAAAATCACCATTTTTAATGGGTAAACCCACTATAAATAGCCATTTTCAATAGCTATGTTAAATTACCAGAGGGTATAGCCTCCAACAATTTACAGACCATGTGATCCCAGGTGCTGCTGCACCCATGTGGCTGAGCACTCAGGGATGGGGAGTCATAGGGGAATCGAACGGTAGGGAAACCTCAACTCAGATCAACCAGAAACCAGAAACTAACATAAACTAACCACATATTTGCAGGCAAAACTAGCATGAAAATACCATGATGCCATGGTAAAAACCCGTAGATTTTGCCTGACATCGGATGTCCCTTCGATGTCTGTGCCTGTTACTGTCCCCCGCTGGGCGCCGTACAGTACTGGGACAGCGAGAGAACTGTTCAGAGGAAAGGCGGCCTAAACTGTCAGAAATTGTTTAGTGTACTTTATGTGTACCCTCTGGTAAACTAACATAGCTAATAATGGGAAAATCACCTATAAATGGTCATTTTCAATAGCTATGTTAAATTACCAGAAGGTACTTTATGTGTACTTGGACATTTACTGTATGTCCATCATATATCAGTTCGTTGTTTTCTGAACGGATGGAGTATTACAGTATTACACAAGAATCATCATCAATAATTGTGGAGTTTACATTCTGTAATTTACAGTCATACTCCGATTAGGTCAGTTTTGATCAGTCTTGAAATGCAATGGATTGGTTTAAGTTTTTCCAGGATTTTTCAACATTTCCCAATCCAAGGTTTCCGGTTAAGATTTTCCCTGAAGCCCATCCATTGATGCATAAAGATCAATTTAAATCCATTAAAATCCATGGTCCATTTCTTTAAAATCCATTCAAAATCAGTTACCCTGTGGTAAACTAACGTAACTATGGAAAATCACCTTTTCTAATGGGAGAATCCACTATAAATGGCAATTTTCAATATCTATGTTAGTTTACCAGAGGGTAAACCATGTTAAATCCATGAATCCTCCATTTTTGAACATCTTAAGGGTTCACGCGACCCAAAAAAATTGGTCCGTTCGCAGCCACTTGGCTAAAAAACTCCTAGGTGTAGAACATGCTACGACATGGTCATGTTAGTAAAGCAATGTCATAAACCACCCATATTCGGTAGATGGTTTCTAGCACCCATAAAAGCAAATTTGGGGATGGTAATGGCTGGTATACTATTGCTTTACTAACATTAAATTATAACAACCTCACTGCGACCTCACTGGAATAATGGTTAGTAAGGGGAAAAGTATCCCCATGGCTGGCCTTATTTCAGATGAGTGGATTACTATGATTTACCCAGAAGGTGGTACAACTTGCTACAACATAATATATATATATATATTATCATTTTAACATATAAGGCAATTAAACTGTGATAATCCTAGCTGCAATACATAATCCTATGTGCATCCTGTGTGCATCCTATGTGCAATTACTGTTATGCAAGAACTTAAATCATAAAGCAACCATTGTGAAGGAAATTCTTCAAAGCCCTCCTAGACATCAAAAAAACGGGGCTGACCCTGGACAGCAGCCATGTTCGATGAGCGCTCGAGTGCCAACCCGCTCCACCGGACCGCCCACAAGTGTCTGGGATGTGGGTCCCATGTGGGTCCCAAACGCAGGGGAAGCCAGATGTTTCTACAAGAAAACGGCAATGTTTGATCTTTTCTCTCGAAATTTTCATGGATTTGGAGATCTTCAATTTTCCAATGTTTCCGAATCTTAAGCCTGGAATTTCCTGGAACATTAGATCAGGTGCTCGATGTACCCAAGCACTTTCTACCCTCAGATGGTTACGCCGGCATTGGGCATTAACATAGGTCATCACCCCCACCTTCGCTGCCGAAACTGAGGCGGTTCAGAGGTGGGAGGGCTGGGGGCTGCCCATGTGCCTCTGACGTGCTGGGGGTCTTTCATACCTGACAATTCCTTGTATTCCGATATATTCCCATCTAATCTGTGCAATCATATCATATCATGTATTTTATGGTTATAGTTATTATCATTATTGTTGTTATTACATGTGATTTCTATTATTGTATGGTTTGCTGGTGCTTTGCCTGCGAGCAATAGTGCAAAACCAAAGGGTGCGGGTATGTGGGGGTTAGATTGTGTGGTGGCAAGGCGCTGATCAACAGGCTGCGGCCAGAGGAACTGGTGAGGTGCGCAGCTTTTTTTGGAGAGGGTGGGGGTGGCAGAGGTCGTGGAAATTCAGAACCAGATAGTAACTTGGATTGTCTATTTGGATTGGTTGTGCTTATTGATGTTTGCTGGACTTGTGGGGTTGGGGACGCTTGGGTTATGGGTGGTATCCTGCTCTTCTTTTAGATACGCACATGCTTTATATACTGTAAGTCTTTTGTCTTGTGGGATGCTTGACCAGCATTGGCACTTTGTCCATCTGTCCAAAGTCCCCTGGTATTTGCCCTGAGGGCGAGGCATTTGTCTCAAGCCTGGGGAACTCGAGACACTTGCTGGGTAGCGGCTCTATCAGCCGGCCAAGGATACGGAGAGGGGTAAGCGGAGACTATATATAGATTTTGTATGGTTTTTGTTCATTGCGGTCCCATCTTCTCACCCTTTACGACAATTTTCAGCCACCAATCCTTCCAATTTCCTCCATGTTGCAGGGGATGAGCATTTTGCATCATTTTGCAGATTTACCCGTCTGAGAGTTTTCGGCCTGTGAGCATGACTAATGGCCCGTTTTCGTGGACCCCGTAGGGCTGGACAACAGGTCCAGGGACCCCAGGTTCCCCAGGTGTCGAGCCAGAAGTCTCGGTCGCAAGGGTCCAAGTTTGAATGGCAACTCGTTTGCGGCGATGATGATGAGCCAGCTGCAACCTGGCTGTTGTTTCAAACATGTTCTCCTTTACACATTTTTCCATTTCCCCCCAAAACAAATTATATAAAAACATGGGGATGAAATGGGATGAATCATATTGAATGATCCCAATTATATATTCATAATTATTGAACTGAGTGCTACTGAGTGCCATGTTTTGGGGTTGAGACTACCAGCCAGGCAAATGCCCGTGTGGCGCTGCAGCATGAATTCTGGCAGGAGATGGTTGCAGCCAAGAGCCCCAAGAGCTTCCAAGACACAGACTTTGTCGCCGGGCCTCGTTCAGTGGATGGACGACCATAAGTAGGTCCCCTCTTCTGCACCCGTCGCAGTTGCGCCACTAGGCCGCAGTGGCACAAGACCTCCTCGCTCACCTCTGGCAGTCTGCGTGTCACTTCACTCATGGTGGCCTTGAAGAAATCTCCAGTGCTACTTTTCTCCTCCTGGCGTCCCTACCACGCGTGCCCATCCAGGCATTGCCGTTTCTTCGAATTTGCAGATCAGGGGTCCACTGTGGCAGCCTTGGAGCTCCAGTGGAAACGCTTCCCCGCAACGGGGGCCCGGACAGTCGTGAGCGATGAGGGTTTTATGCCTTCCGATGTACGGCAAGGAGGTGTTGGGGACTGCCGCTGGATGATGCATTCAGATTATTCAGATGTTTTTGCGTTTCATTCTTCTTATAAATATGCAATTTTGACTCCCAAGAATTGGGGGTAGGGTTGATGAATGTTTATGATGCATTCTTTGCTGATTGCTGGCTGAAGAACCCATTACCAGTCGATACGATGTATCTAGAAGCTGCTAGGACGTAGGAAAGACCCTGCCATGCCCACGCTGCTAGGCTGGTTCATGAGTGCCCTGGCAGTAGTTGCTGAGCGCCACGACCTCATGAGAACTTGGGGCATTTTTAAGTCCACTTTTTCTGTGCAGAATGGCAGAGTGCTTGGTGGAGCTTGGGTGATGGCCCTCCAAAATCATTCAAACATGGATTTGGAGGATCATTTGCATTCTGGGTCTAGCAGTTTTCACATTACCTGACTTCAACCACAAGGACCTGCCCAGAACATTTGGTAAGTTTTTTCCTGGAAACAATAGGGCACCCCAAAATCTAGTAGTTGATCATAATCATATATAATATTCCCCTTTCATCTCTCATTATGCATATTAAACTAAACTAACTAAACCATATTAAGCCCTTGTCCCCATCCCCAGAGGTTTCGCTCAGGAAAGCTGCTGCCCAACCTCAACGACGGAGCGGCGAGCGGCTGCCACGAGGTACGCCTCTTTCTGGACGGCCGCTGGAGGGCGGTGCTGGTGGATGACTGGCTGCCCACCACTGAGAAACAGCGGCGTCCGGATGGCACGGGCCTGGCATATGGACGATGTACCAACCAGCAACTCTGGGTGTCGTTCATTGAAAAGGTCACCTGAATCAGCATTGGATCATGAGTTGTTCTTAGTTGTTTTTAATTCATAGTATTATGTTTTAGTAACTGTTATTGGATGTTAGTGGTGTATTATATATATAATATTAATCGAAGGAAGTTTAGAAGTCAAACTTCCGACAATATGGACAGATGAAAAGCAGAGCAGGGAAGAGGCAGAGAAAAGAGAAAGATTAGAAGAGAGAAGATCAGAAGAGAAAGAGTCAGAAGACAGAAGATGCAGATGCGCGAAAAGGTAGGAAAGTCGCGAAACACTTTGTTTTTCCAATGATTTGGGGCTCCGGAGGGTCGAAAAGTAGGCTCGCTAAAGCGGCGGGTGCGGAGCCAGCTGGCCAGATGAGAGATGAAAATTTGCACGCCGTTGTTGCGCGAAGCACATTTTGAAGTCAAAATGTACAAAACACACCATGGTCGGACCACTTTTGGAAGTTGCGATGTCGAAAAAGTGCACGCCGTTGTGGCGCGAAGCACATTTCGAAGTGAACATGTACAAAACACACCATTCTCGGACCACTTTTGGAAGTTGAGATGTCGAAAAAGTGCACGCCGTTGTGGCGCGAAGCACATTTTGAAGTCAAAAGTGTTAAAAACTGACGGTCTCGGACCACTTTTGGAGGTTCAGATGTCGAAAAAGCGTCGAAAAAGTGCACGCTGTTGTGGCGCGAAGCACATTTCGAAGTCAAAAGTGTAAAAAAAATGAGGGTTTTGAGCCTTTTTTGACGTGAAGATGTCGAAAAAGTAGTCACTGATTAACTTAACTAACTTGACTAACTTAACTAACTTCACTAACTTAACTACCCTAACTTCGACGACGACAGCAACAGCAACAGCAACAGCAACAACAACAACAACAACCACAACAACTACAACTACAGGGTTTTGAGCCTTTTTTGGGTTTGGAGTCTGTTGTGTTAACGCTGTAGGAGCTGTTGAAGTTTCAATTTAGGAACATGAGGATCGTATCAGTACACGGTAGATGGATGGATTCGGATGGATAGATAGATAGATTGATAGATAGATAGACAGGTACATAGATAGACACCACTGCACTACATTACACCATCTTCAACTACACTTCACTACATTACACTGCACTACCCTCCACTAGACTACAACTACAACTGCAACTACACAACTACACTCCACTACACTACACTACATTACACTGCATTACACTGCTCCCACTACACTTCACTACATTACACTACACTACACTCCACAACAGTACAACTACAACTACACAACTACATTTCACCACACTCCACTACACTCCACTACGCACCACTACACGACATTACACTACACTACATCCCGCTACACTACACTACAACTACACTCCACTACACTCCACTGCACTAAATTACACTGCAGTACACTACATGACACTACACTACACTCCACTACGCTGCATTACACTACACTGCACTACCTTCCACTACGCTTCACTACATTACACTACACTACACTACAACTACAACTACACTCCGTTACCCTCCCCGACACTAATTTACACTACACTAAGTTACACTACACACACTACATGACACTGCACTACACTACCTTCCACTACATTCCACTACACTACACTACAGTACACTACACTACATTAGACTGAATGACATTGCACCCTAAATAGACAGGTCGACGGATAGACAGACAGACAAACAGATAGATAGATAGATAGATACATAGATAGACAGATAGACAGGTAGACAGCTAGACAGAGAGACAGATGAAAGAGAGAGAGAGAGAGATAGATCGATAGATAGATAGATACATAGATAGACAGATAGACAGGTAGACAGCTAGACAGAGAGACAGATGAAAGAGAGAGAGAGAGAGAGATAGATCGATAGATAGACAGATAGATACATAGGTAGATAGATAGATTGGTAGGTAGGTAGCTAGGTGCACCATAGATAGATAGGTAGACAGACAGACAGACAAACAGATAGATAGTTAGATAGATAGATAGACAGGTAGACAGCTAGACAGCTAGACAGATAGACCGATGAAAGAGAGAGAGAGAGAGAGAGAGATAGATAGATAAATAGATAGACAGGTAGACAGCTAGACAGATAGACAGATGAAAGAGAGAGAGAGAGATAGATAGATAGATAGATCGATAGATAGATAGATAGATAGATAGGTAGATAGATAGATAGATAGATAGAGTAATCAAATGAAAGAGAGAGAGGGAGAGATAGATAGCTAGATAGAGAGATAGATAGATAGATAGATAGATCGATAGATAGATAGGTAGGTAGGTAGGTAGACAGTCAGAGAAAGAGTGAGAGAGATCAATCGTCTTTCGATCCATCAGTGGCTTCGCTCTGCCATCCCTGATTCACAACAACCAATCTCTCCTATAGGTTTCCTATTTTTGAAACTTCCGCCATCGCCTTGTGCGGTACTACTGGTATAATATATAACACGCATATATTTATTTATAATATGATGTGTGTGTGCGCAGGGTTAAACTGGGTTCCAAGGGCCTTGGTCCCGTTCCGAGGCCTACGCCAAGGCGCACAGGGCCTATCGTTTCATCAGTGGAGGCGAAACCTCCGAAGCTTTGTTGGAGCTCACTGGTGCGCCCACTGAGGCCCACGGCTTCCAATGTCGGGTGTTCACATTGTTTTTACTTTCAGCATCTTTCAGCTGTCATTAAGTTTTGCATATTCCAAGTGCTCAGATGGCTACAGTATTGTATATAATAGTTTGAACATCCTAGAACTAAATCATTTCGCGTCATTCTATATCAAGGAATCGCCCCAACCTTCATAATTTTTGGACCACATCGACTGGAGCAAATTTGCCCAGAGGTGGTTAATTTCCAAGGGCCAAGTTTCGATCCAGATCTTTTCTGGGCCCGCTTGGTGTCCTTGCTGCAAGCTGGTTGTCCCATTGGTTGCGGAACTAGCGCGATGACTTTAGAAGAGCTTGGCTTGGTGGGGCAGCATGCCTATTCAGTGCTGGAAGCTGAAGATGGTGGCGGTTTCTTCGTCGCTGCGCTAGGGCCAGATGGAGATGGTCGCCGCGTGAAGGTGCGAAATCCCTGGGGTGAGTGGACCAGAAGGGAACAGGATGAACTGCTTGCGCAGCTGGGTGTGGCGATCACGCCAGGTGACGGCTGCTTCTGGATGAACTATTCCGATTTCATTCGAGGCTTCGCCTGCGCGGATATTTGCTACGCCCGGGCGGGGTGGCACAGCCAAAGCTTCGATCTGGAGTTTGATGGTCATGGAGAAGGCCTTGGGGTTCGCAATGCTCTGAAGCTTCGAAGTGTTGGGGGTGCTGTGGAATGTTGGGTCATGGGCATCCAACCCACGGAGCGGGGGAAGCAGGTCAAAAGGCCCAAAGGACGCGGGTTCAAAGTGGTCAGATTGTGTAATGTCATATCCAGTTTTTGAGGGACCTAAGAGTCACATTGTCAAGCTTGTTGGAACGTCATGTGAGTCATGTGGGATCCATTGGGAGCAATTCTGGGCTTTTGGCGGCATTATCATGCATCATGAAGTTTGGACCCTTTTGGTAGCCCAAGCCCTGCAAGGATACTACCTCAACGACCTCTCCCTGCTGATCCTGGATGATGCTGGTGAGGTTGTGGCTTCTGTCCTAGGCGGCGCGCGAAGGGATGTGAGTTGTAGTGCGGTGATGGAGGAGGGCAGGGAATATGTGGCTGTCCCAGTGAGTTTCCGCGCCAGCCGGGGCCCCTTTGTGCTTCGCATCTATGCAGCAGCACCTGTTGAGGTCCTACAAGAGCCGGCCAGCCCCAAGCTGGCGTGGCGGGCCATGCATCGTTTGCTGATGTCACCAGCGCCTAAAACACAGACGCCTTTTCAAAGGATGGCCTATGACTTTGGAGTTGGTGAGGTGGTGGTTGTAGAAGCAGCTTCCATGGCCTTGGGATTGGCGGTGAACCAGAATCCTTCCGCTTCCCTATCCTTGCGCTTTGTGGCGGCTGGGAACCATACGGTTCTGCGCACGCAAGGTGGCATGCAGGACGGCTGCAGTGATGAGGAGAGGAACCAGCGGCAAAAGCAGGCGGAATCGAAGGCCAAATCCAGGGGCAAGGCAGGCGTCATTCTTGACCACTTGCTTGGTGGCTGCGAATGTTGAGATAGTAAAGGGTGGATAACGATGGTGTTATAACATTTCCATACATTTCCAAATGTTGCAACATGTTTCGAGAAAAAGGTCATGAAACGGGGAGCCCTGCCAGGGCCACGGCCAGAAGCCGAATTGGCGCCTGTACGATGTGGAGGCTTCGATCCCTAAATTCTGCCAGTCGCTAGCCTTCGTGGCTGTGGCACAGCTGGATACCTGGGAGTTTTCCTTGGAAAACATGGAGGCCAAGCAAGATCTAGATGAGACACCTGTAGTTTCTGCCGCCTCGGCTTTCGCACCCGTCACGCCTTCCCACTGGGTAAATCAAGAGCACAGAAGCTCCCTGCTGGATGATCTGGATGATGATGATGCGGAACTCCAGGCTGCCATCTTGGCAAGTCAGAATGAAACTGGGTAGCTATGGCAGATTTTCTTTTGGAGATAATCATTAATTATATATGTTATCTTTCAACCATTGTTTGATTGTTTGTCTTTTCTTTTTACTCCCTTTACTTGACAGACCCAGCTCCCACATCTTGGCCGGAGGACTCAGAAAATCTCAGACATTTCCAGGCGAAGGAAGAGGAGTCAGATGAGGACCTGGCACTGGCAATCAGCCTATCCCTCCAACCCCTTCCAGCACCAAACGCAGATGCCAAGGAACGGCCGGCAAACCGATGGGCGAGACGCCATGGCTGGCAGCGCCAGCCTGGATGAATCGTCCTGGGGGGCTAAGATGGTCCCCCAGGTCTGTCCATATCCACCCAACAGAAGGAACATGGAACCAAACAAGAACACATGAACAAAAAATGAACAAAAAATAGAGAGAGATGGAATTCTTAGGATGAAAATAGATGCAACTCTTTGTCAAGAGTGGTTTCATGTTTATTTTGTTGGGGGGTCCTGCGAGTCTGTTATCGTGTCACTTGCAGATCAAAATTTGGTGGAGATTGACTGCTAAGGGGGAAAGGATTGATTACGCAAAGATGAACTAACGAAGGCGGTGACAATGGACATCAATGGACAATTTACACTTTGACATTTGGGTATGGATCAATACCTATTAATACCATTTTTAGGGGGATGAACATCCATTTACCAGCTATTTTGATGTTCACCAGGGGTACAAGGTTTTGACACACTGCCATTTGATTATCATTCTTTTGCGGAAGTTGCACCCTTGAAATCCAACACCGAATCTGGCCACCAAAATGGGCAAACCTGGAAATCTCCAACGGTCTCAGTGTTGGCATGGCCGCGGGGCTCAGGTGGCGTGCTCAGCCCCGGTTGGCGACGGATTTGCTGAAGCACTTGGTGAGGACAGCCTCATGGAGACAAACTTGCCAGGTGTGGATGGGAGCTGGGGAAACTGCTGTGTGACATCCGCCATATTATGGCCTTCCTGAATGCCAAGCTGATAGGTTTATCATGGTTTATCATGTGATATCTCTATTACATGTCATTGTATCCCCAGTATATCCAATAAATTCCCCATGTGAAGATTTTTCGAAAACTCCATGGCATCTCAAGGTGTTGCAGACAATGCGGGAGAACTGGGTGCAGATCAATGTTTTTCATGCCAGCAGCGTTCCTTGGCATTGGCTCATGTTTTTTTTCCTCATAATTTACAGTATATATAATTTGTCGATATTTGTCGTCCCTTGGCCCTTGGCATTGGTCAATGTTTTCAGCCATCCTTTGTTGGGATGGCCATCTTCCCATTG